ATGTACACATCAACAAACACTGCTCTCTCACTAGTCCACATCTACGCCTTTTTCAATGACCTGCATCAGACATCACCGTTCTTTATTACATATATGTAACATGTAGCACTAAACAGGAACTATCAAAACTGCAACAAACAAAAACATTATGGCTTTATCAGTGTAGATTGGTATGTTCCTACCCATAGTTTAACAGTACTGAAACACTTGCCAAAGAATATGCTGTTACAGAGCCAGTAGCACTCAAATAGGGATTTTAATGAGATTTTTACTTTACTCTAAATTCCAATTACATATCAGAGCAAATTGAAATCATAGTCTTTCCCATCATTTCTCACATTGAATTGCTTTCCCAAACAATACTCCTCACAGACAGGACATTTTCCCTGAGTCAATCTAAAGCTAGGAACACCTCTTCTACTATTAACAATACTAAATGGTTATGCAAAATGTAAATCATAAAATATCAAAGGTAAATATGTTGATAGCAAAACACAAGGCAGGAAACAACATCAGCCTTTTTCTTAAAGATATTTTGAAATCAAAGTCAGCATGAGTTAAATCTGGGTAGAAGTTCTACAATCGTTGAGCTTAATCTATTCCTGTGTAGATGTACTCAAGATAGCTAGAGCTTAGCTCTTGTAGTTCTGAACATCTGAAACGAAATCAACTTGTATCAAACATACAGCACCACAGCTGGTTTCTAGATCACATTGCTTATATGTGGCAGGTGACAGACTGGATTTCTGATAAATCATTTGTATTCATGTTCCACTGTCGTAATCACAGAAGTGTCTAGTTTCCAGTCCTGCAAAATTCTCGTTATCCATTTTGTCACCATTATCACTATACTGTTATCTCTGTCTTTCGTTGTAGAGTTGTAACCATTATCCAGGGTTATTCCCTGTCTCCGTGCTGTTATCACCTACAGTGCTTTACACCTCTCTTCTCTTTGAGATTATCACTCAGTCCTCGTCATCTTCGAGAGCTTCCTCCCTCTCCCTGTGTTTGCGCATGTCAAGGTGGGATGCCAGTAGCTGGGGGGTGTTAGCCGTCATATTACACAGCTCACATGTAATAGGGTCTCGTCGATATAAACTGGAAATATACCCGACGTGTTTGATTTAATTAAAGTTAGGGTCATGAACTCTAAAAACAGCATTATGATTACTACATATGGTAAACCGGTATGTTAACATAGTCAGAGTATAAACAATGTTTATTCTGATACGCTTACTTTAACTTCAAATGATTGTTTATTATATTTATATGGATGCAATTTGCCTGTTGATTCAGCTCCTTCATTATAAATTGTCAAAGAGAAAAAAAGTCAACAATCTTAGACAACTTACTCTTTAGCAGCTTTCTTCAGAAATTTGACGTGCTGCTTAAGGCGCTCCTTATGATGGGCAGAAGAGTTGAGCCTTATCTGGTCTACCTCCTCATCTATCAGAGCCACCGCCGAGTGTAGGTTGAGTAGCACGGGGTTGTCTGCGTCTGTATTCTCTAATCTATGGTGGAGGATGTCCTCAGGTTTCAGCTGAAACAATTAGGTTTCAATATAAAGTACTGCAGCAATTATTTGATTGTACATCTTGTATAATCACAATGATATTAATGAACCAGAAATTAATGATTGGTTAACTCATTAGAGACTTGTTCATCAGTGGTTTCATGATTTTATTATGAAAAGAAAATTTCAAGTTGACAAGCACTATCTCACACTAGATATGTCTTTTTCATTTTTAAGTGTTGAACAGCACATACAACTGAGATGTCGTGTAAGCTAATTGATGTTACACTGGCAGGATGGTAGAGCTCTCAAATCTCAGAGTGATCAGTAGGTTTACTGGCTAAAAACATGACAGGTGGTTCAAGCTTTCCATCAGGTGTAAATCACAATTTATTACAGCCTATTGAATAATACTAACAAGCTGCATGTATACATAGTATGCTGGGATTGGTTAATCCTGCCTGTTGTGATCTAAATTTCTGCCACTAACTGCGGTAGATTCTGCCAGGTAAGATATCAGAAGTAATTAATATGAGTGATTTACATTATTACCTACAATTCCTAAGGCGGGTTTCTGGTCAGGATGGAAGTCATATTAACAACACAAGGTATATCATTGTTTACTGTCTGGGTATAAGGGAGATACAAGTTATTTTAGGCAGCATTTAAAAGTTATAATACATCACAGTGTATGGAGTAATACCTGGTTCCATTTGTACGGCCTCTCAGCACTCCTCGGCTGTACTGTCTCCCTTCTCTTTTGTAGAACCCTGTAAACATCAGGGTTATATGAAGGTCATCAGAAGGTCAACTCTACCTATCAATCAGTTTGTTCAAACATGTTTATACTGTGACTGACTCCCCAGACAAGATTTTCTCTATGACCTTAGTGTATGGTACTGACCACCCCGGTCAAAACTTACTCCATGACCGTAGTGTATAAACGTCAGTCAAAA